CTACAGATGGCTAGATTGTTCTACCATAAGCCTCAGTTTGCTATCCTAGATGAGTGCACCAGTGCTGTGTCGGTGGATGTAGAGGGTTATATCTACACACATGCAAGGGAAGTGGGCATTACACTCTTCACCGTATCACACAGGAGGTCTCTATGGAAATATCACGAGGTATGGTATAGTAAGAGAGAGAGAGAGGGAGAGAGATAGAGATATGTAGAGAAGGACAGCAGAGAGAGAGAGAGAGAGAGAGATAAGGGGGAGGGGGAGAGAAGGAGAGAGAGACAGAAAAACAGAGAGAGATAAAGACATGTAGAGAAGGACAGCTGAGGAGAGGGATGGAGGGAGAAAGACAGAAAGAGAGAAAGCGAGAGAAGATGAGAGAAAGAGACAGATATTTTTTTGTTTGTTCGGTATTTGAAACTATTGTTCAAGGACTTACATCTTCTTTCCTCTAGAGCTTACTCGAATTACACATCGCAATACAATTCTAAATTTTCTCCTCCTTTTTTTTGTCATTCCAAACTGCAGTACTATCTAATGTTCGATGGACGCGGCTCATACGAATTCAAGAAAATAGATCAGGACACGGTGGAATTTGGATCATGAGTGAAGTACACATTGAAGATACCATCTATATGATTATATTATAATTTCGTATGTTCTTTTTATGTCGTTGATGTCCGATGTGTTTGATCCTCTCATTTGATTTGAAGAGATGTAACATGATACGAAATCAAATCATACCAACACCAATACCATGAACCATTTCATTTGATTTATCTAAAAATGATTTGTGGGAGTTTATTTTTGAAAATTGTCAAAGCCTACATGTAATCAGAGCTGCCAACCATTCCGTTTTTGCCGGAATTACTCTGTTTTTTCCTCCAAATTTTCTTCATAAAATACGGTTTTTAATAATTTTTAATTTTTTTTTTTTTTTTTAATTTTTAAATTTTTAAATTTATTTTTTTAAATTTTTTTTACATACTGCACGTCAAACAACTGCCCTAAAATGGTGATTTGATCACAAATTCAATAGAAAACTAATTTTAAAACATACTTGAAGAGAAAAATATTCTCAAAAAAAATGAAATGCCAATAATACCAAAATGACCACCAAAAAAATTACCTGCTTGTATGGAAAAAACAGCATGATGAATGAACATTTCTGCATTGGAAGTGTGTCGCGCGTGGTTGTAAGTTTCGTTTTCATGAATTCCTTTTTTTTGCTTGAAATTCCTTTTTTTTGCCATCATGATTCCTTTTTTTGGTCGCACAAGGTTGGTAGCTCTGATGTAATGCATATACAATGCACAGTGTAGTATCTTTATGACCGTGCATACAATGGCATGTTGAGCATGCACCTACATGTATGTGTAAGTATAGATATCTGTGGTTGTTGAAAGTGCAATGGAAAGATGATGGAGCTGTATTTGTACTCTTTAATTGTTGTTCTGAAACCCATTTCTCTTTTGCTAGTGTATGTGATTATATTTAAAGCTGCACAATCTTGACAACTCTTTTTAATTCAAATCTTTATTATGTGTAAAAGTCCTTTGTGCCTTGCAGAATTTTTAAAGGGAGGATCCCAAATCACTGATAATATTAATGGGAACTATCACTATAAATCATTCTCTAATCAGTCTCCTGAAGTTAATGTAAACAAGGTTTTGGATATTGGTTTACAAGTCCCTTGGCATTCATTTATTCTAATAAACCTTTAATCCATCATTACCCTTCTTTGATATGGCGTCAGCTTACCAGCAGGACCATTATACATGTAGTAGGCCCTGTTGTTTCTGTGACGTGTAGGCGCGTCTCATTTCTAGCAAAACTCATAACAATTGAAAAAGGGTTAGTTATTGACAAAGAATTGCAGAGGGGTTTAAAATGGTAATCAATCTTGAAAATTGAAATGGCATCTTTTCATGTTTTTTTCTATGTACACATTTATTTACACAATGAATGTATCTCCAAACTATCCAAATGAGGACGTTACTTGTGATAAATTTAAAGAAAAGTGAAGGAGAATCCATTTTTGATAAAAAATTGCACAGAGATCTAAAAGTGAGTTCATCAATCCACAATGGGAAGCTCTGTCAACAAAAGCATGTTGTGACAATTTTTTTTTTAAATCATGTTTTTCCATCGATTGACATGTATGACAAATATGACTACCAGTCTGTCCAAAAACTGAACATTTTGCGACAAATATAAAGAAATTTGCAAAAACAGCTGTATTTGTCATAAATCAACAGCCATTTTTGGAAATAAATTGTGAAGGATTAGTTCATAATTTTTTTTGCCAGATATCTTTTCGAAAGGACTCTTAGTCATAATTTTTGTTCATCTGGTATACATGTGACTCTGGTCTGTTTGGAAGGGGCATTTGGGCAAATTCAAGTAAATTGAAAAATGACTCTATTATCATTATGCAAGGTATTTTATTCCATCTATGGAGAAAACGTTGGAAAGTTATGATGATATAACACCTTGACTTACAAATTTAGAGTAATTTATAAAGATTTGTCTTAAAAGGCTGGGTATTTTCTCAGCATTTTATTGCTGTAATGTCCAGGTATTTTCAATTCATCTTTCGGTGAAGGCGTACATGGAGCAATTTCCAGTTCCTGTACCCATGCATTGTGGGACATGGCTGTCGACACATCTGGACATTGTGAGCAGGAGATGGCAGTATACGCAATTCTGAAGTAGTGTCGATAGAATACCCTGCCTTTTATTATAGGCAAGTACGATTGTAGATCTTTATCATTGATTATTAAAAATATTGATGACAGCATAAGGATTTTTAAAGAGGAATTAATAGACTAGTTGAATGCTGCAGAAAATATTGTATATCTTGGACTTACTAACCTGAAGTATGCAAACTTTTATGTGCAACTTTTGCAGAGTTTGTAAAACCTTTTTTCCTTTCTCACTTGTACATGTGAAATTCAAGGATTTCCATATGTTGTAGTTTGTGGAAATCAAAATAGGAAATTTTGAAGAGCATGTTGGATGCTGTCTTACTCATCATGCATGTAGCATTCGTGGTTTGGAAGATATGTCATGAATACATTGTATTTTATTGGAAATTGCCAATTTAAATTTGTCTTTCTCTGCTGTGCAGTTTTATATTTCAATATAACTGATGGTTCTACCAAACTTAAAGGATTTTATTTGTAAACTTTATCCAAAGTGAATGTTTGATTTAATTTGTAACGTATTTTGGAATTGCGTATGTACACCGATATTTATGGTATTATCCCTGGGTATTTTATATTTAGTCTATGTGTCATGTATAAATTGTAATTAAAACCAATGAGAAATATGATGATGGTGCAGTATGTTAGATTTATGCAAATGATTGTATAATTGAAATGAGCAAGGATTACAAGCGATTATATTGTCACCTACCCTCCTCAAAAAACAAAAAATGATTAAAAAGAATAACCTTACAACTTGGTCCGAAATAATAAAGAAGTAATCATGGAATGAATTTGATTCAAGTTTTTATTATTATTTTTTTTAATTTGAGAACTTGATTTATATGAGTAATTTGTTGCCTTCCCATTTCCCTGTTGTATTCTGAAGTTTATTTCCGCTATAATTATTTCAAATATGTTATACAAATTCATGAATTAAGATAAAATTTCTTTTACATCTATGTTGCACATTTTTTATTTTATTTCTAGGATAAATTTTTGTGTGTAATTCAGGTATATAAATTTATGTATAAATATGTATTTATCATGCTCACAGAAATATTAAAATTTGAATGATGTGGAATTACATATAATTTCAATTGTTACTGGTGTAATCTCTCTGTTTGTTTTTGCTTTCAAGGTGTTTAATTTTGTACATCTCTCTCTCTCTCGCTTTATGGGGCTATATGTGGGTTATAAAGCCCCTCTGAAGTGTTGGGAGCCCCAAATTTGCAGTTTGATGGCAAAACTGAAAGAGGATGTCATTTAAGACATACTTTTGCAAAGATTTCCCCCGGATATGTGTTTGAAGACAAATATTGATAAAAGAATACATAATTAGAAGTTCGTCTTAAATGACTTTCTCTTTCACATTATGAAACAATTTAAGTGAAATTTTGCCATCAATTTTTGGGGCTCCCAACACTTTAGAGGGCATTTCTTTCATTCATCACAAATTTTTGTTCTTGCTCTCTCTCTGTCTCTCTCTCAATCTTGCTCAGACTCTCTATATAAACTCCTGCTACTGCTACTTCCCCCTCCCCTCCATCGCCCTTCTATCACCTTTCCCCTGCCATCCTTCTAAATAATATTCTCTCCTTTTATTTTCATTCCTTCTCAACTACTTCTCTCCTACTTCTCTCTTTTTCTCTGCCATCCTCTTTCCTTTTCTCTGCCATTCTTCTTAACATTCTATCTCCTTTTCTCTTCATTCCTTCTCAACATCCTCTCCTTTTCTCTACCATCCTTCTCAACATTCTCTCTCCTTTTCTCTGCCATCCTTCTAAATAACATTCTCTCCTTTTCTCTTCATTCCTTCTTAACATCCTCTCTCCTTTTCTCTTCATTCCTTCTCAACATCCTCTTTCCTTTTCTCTACCATCCTTCTTAACATCATCTCTCCTTTTCTCTTCCGTCCTTCTTAACATCCTCTCTCCTTTTATCTTCCTTCTTAACATCCTCTCCTTTTCTCTGCCATCCTTCTTAACATCCTCTTTCCTTTTCTCTGCCATCCTTTTTAACATCCTCTCCTTTTCTCTGCCATCCTCTCTCCTTTTCTCTTTCTTCCTTCTCAACATACTCTCTCCTTTTCTATTTAACATTCTCTCTCCACTGCACTCTCCCTGCTGCCCTTATTAAAAACCCTCTCTCTTATTCTCCACCTCTCTTCTTATTCACCCTCTTTCACTTTCTTTCCCACCCTTCAGACCTTCTATTTCTGCCTCTCCCAATCATTTGTTTATATTATTGCACACTGACTTCCTATTAAGAAAAAAACAACAATACAACTTTTCCTTACATTGCAACAATAATTCTCTTTTTTAAAATTCACATTTTAAATGGAACATCATCAAACAAGTTTTAAATCAATCGGCATGAAGAAAAAAAAGAAGATATCATCAACTCACAGATTTTAAGCAAATTAAATGGAAGACATCATACATGTAATACTTTTGTTTTTCATTCAAAAGCTTCCAACAACCCATTGTTCCTGAAATTCTGTTTTTTCCATCTTTTCCCAATGGGCTGATTTAAGACATATTGCATGCTTTTAAGAATACATAAACTCTGCAATAAATAGGGAAAATACACAAAGCTCATAATCGAGCTCATCTATCAAAAAAACTAAGACATGGATCCTTCTTCACAGGTTAAACTTGAATTTGCGTTACAGTTGATTAATTGTTTACATGGTAAACTTACTTCCGAATACAATAAGTGTTTCCAAATGGGTCTCTTTTCTTTATGAATTCATAATATTCTGACATAAATTCCTGCTAGATAAATATTAGCCAAATATAGAGTAAATTACCAGCAAATATGTCATTAGGAATAAATTAATTTTTATGTCTGCTCCTATAAACATATTTTAGACTAGAGTTATCGACTCTTTGAACGACTCCATCGAAACAGAGTTGTTTGCATATAAGAAGGGTGAAGCTCACACCCTGTGTTCATTTTGATTTGATACTTTACAAATTGCACCATTTTTTGCTGCATTTCCAAGAGATTACAATAATCTTTACAGTTTTTGTATTTTTAATATAACAAATCATAAAACTATGCAAATGCAGAGTTGCGAGGAGAATTAATGCATGAGCAAGAATGTATATGTTTTACAAGTATTAAGATGAAAAAGGGAGATTATAACATCGGACAGTAGTGTGTACCTCATTGACCTTATTACATGTTTAATATTATCCTCACAGAGAACTGAATCATACTTATTTTCAAGAAATAAGCTGTAAGCAGGGGGGAAACACAAACATCGGTAAGCAGATGAAAAATTCTGGGTGACACATAATCATTTGTGCTTCAATACACGAAGCACATTAAGATGACATAAATTTACAGTTGAACACATATACATATCATGAAAACATATATATATAATATTTTCTCAAATCGCACAATATATAACTCTCGTATGTACAAATTTTGTAGGCTCAGTAATTTGACCCCTTCCTTTGAACTCAGTCTCATAGCTCAGTTTACATCTACAATCGTTATCCATAACACATTTCATAATGTTTCTATTCTAATTTTGACAAGTCTGAAAAGCGCCATTTCTAGATTCACATTATGCAATGTGCCCTCATCGCCAGGTCTTATAACACCCGATTCCCAATGACCCATATATGAAATATCAATATTTCAACAGATATAAAAGTCCAGCTCAAACAAAGGATCATTGTGCTTGGAGGCAGACATCAGTCCACTACCATAGCAACAGTAACACAATGGACAATATACTATAAAATACCCAGGATAGATTCGGAGAGGGAAAGGGCTACATTTGTATAAACTATCCCCCTATATTGGTTGCTATGTATATGTATACCGTTGACAAAAAGTTGACTACATGATCAAATTATACGCTGCTTCTGAAAAGGGAGAGTGAAATGGGTGTTTTTCACCCCCCCCCCCCCCAACAAAAAAAACAAAAAAAGTTTGCCACAAGTTCTCTTTACCCATCATCCGCCAAAAATGTTGAATACAATTACACCTAAAATATGGCGTTGTATAATAATTTAATAATCTTGATCAAACAATATACCAGTAGCTACCGGTAACTTGAAACTTGGACGAGTATCGTGACATACTCTGATATCAATATAAGAAATGGTGATAAATACATGTATGTTGGAGACAAATTAACTAAGCCCCAACCCCTCCACTCTCATAACCTGATGACAATTCACCACTTTTGCTATTAAATAAAGAACCAATTCCCCACACACAACCACAGAGAGCAAACATTTTTTGCTCCCAAAATAAGACCTGTCACTCATTGGCAAGATGATATGTGTACACTCTCCTCATCAGACATATACATGTAGATCATCAAAAGAAAAAACAAAAAGAAAAACATACAAGAAAATATGACACGACAGGAAAATGATTGGATGTTGTTTGATAGCATTGTAGATGAATCGATTAGCGTAATAGATCTTTAGGTGGCTGGAACATTGTTTGTTGTTCGGTATTAAGTTTTCTCTATTAAAAGATTGTATAACTAAACTGAATGATAGTCCAATGAAAAAGTGATGAAAACAACATACATATATGACTGGGGAATCAGAATAGTAATATTACCATTACATTTTTTATCCAAGAATAACAAAAAACACTGTAGTATACTATTTGTTTTTTCATTACAATGACCCAGACAAACGGACTGACTTAAGACAATTAAATACATAGACGCAGTGCATGGAGGTGATGGAGCGCACAGGGAGTAGAAACCACTACTCCTAGTGTAGGCCTCGAGGTATAGTGGGCCGGTGGGAATTGTTTGCAAGTTGGGAATATGGTCCAGGGCTTCCTAATATTTTGTCATCTTCCTCTCGCATCTTATGGACCTTTAGCATGCCTCAAACATACGTTAGACCCTCTGAACGAACAGATAGACCAATATGATATTAGTGGCAGATCCAGGATCCTTTTTGGGGATGGGGGAGGGTAACATATCTTATGAAAAGTTTTTGACAATAAAACTAATCCATGAACAACAAAATTATACATATTTTCAGGTAGCTTTTGTGAAATTTGTTGCAGGGGGAGGGGCACGTTTGGTTTTATATATACTCAATTTGTACTCAATATATGCCCGATCGGATCCGCCAGCAGCGATGGAATTAGTCCATGAGTAGTGTAAGGCATCAAAAGAAAATTGTCATTGAAATCAATCTTAAGAAAGGCGAAAATTAATATGGAAGTAAATTTTGTCAACATCCCATCAGCAATATTGCATTGAGGTTGCATTCTAGCACAGAAAGCAAGAAAACATGGCTTTCTCTCATTAGATAAAGGTGTCTATTATTACATCTTTACAGTTAAATTTCATTTAACAAAGTTATGTGTTAAGCATATTCAGAATAAAATGTATTTAAACAAAAAGAGAGGATAGAACTAAAAACATGGACACAAATACACAGTACATGTGTAGAAATTAAGAGCTGATTAAGTGGCCTAATTTGGAACAGACTGCAAGTTGTGCTTCCGACGTTCAAACAAAGAATAACAAGAAAAATGATTCAGTTCAGGACATGCAACTTGTTGGTGCTAAAATCAAACTGTCGTGTAAGAAGAGTATTGCTTTAGCTGGTGCATTCAAACAACGGCAGACTCAAGATATATTGGATTCTTATAGGAGTTGCATGAAGAGTATACCTGTACCTATCATTTGTTGCTAGAAATTCACACAATGCTGATATGACATAAACCAAACTTGTTTTCAGCTACTTCTCTCTGCATAATGTAAAAGTATAAGATTTCTCTTTAATCAGCAGCTATTTCTGGGTATGAACTGCCAAGCAGTGGAGCAGCGGGCAGCGTGTGACAAACACACACACAAATATTAAAGCCGTTAGGCTTTTAGAAGGGCTAGCAAAGGAGAGACTACAATCACAGTGCCATAGCTGTACTGACTATAATGCGCCTTGGTATTCAGGCATCGATTTGCACATCCTCAGGCTCAAAGACCACACCTAGAGCTCCTTGCCGCAGGAATCTTTCCAGCACTGCTGAAAGATGACCCATTTCTTCTTACATGAATTTCAAAATGCCTGACGTGTACTGATGATTTTTTGGCGATTTCAAATCTCCTCGTCCCGTCTGCACGATTCCACGTTGGAATTAGGGAGTGCCGTCTGCTCTGCTCCCCGCTTGGAGCTGCTGTCACCGATTGGAGTTGGCGGCGCTGCTACACATGCCGGTCTTACATGGTTCCATGCCCACGGCCACACCCGCTCCGCTCCGCCCACTGCACATGTTGGTGACTACCTGCCAAGTATCTGACATGGGGTCGTAGCACTCTACCGACGATAAGAAGTCCTGGCCATCGTAACCACCTGCACACAAGGAAGTAAACGACAAATTCTTGAGCATTCCAGAATAATTGTTTTGGAAAGTAAACCATCACTACAACATGCATTACTAATGAAGTTAAACATGGTCTGAAAGGCATCGTTTAACAATGTTAAATCCGAGATGCATGGCCCTACGTGTTATCAGTGTCTGTGGTATTGCGTAATATTGAAGCCCTAAAATAATTGCGCTTCAAAATGATCATGAAGTGCCTCAAAAAAGTAAAAATATTTGAGTGACTGTAGTGTTTCGATTTCCAATCATACATATCTTGATAATCACACATGCGATCGGCTTGTAAAAGTCACGGGTTCCTGACTGACCTAACTGTTTATAACTATCATTGCAGCGTTAGCTAAATCCAGGACTTTGTTTCAGAATCTGAGACAAAGATACCTAATCCCTTTAAATGAAAACTGACCAACTATACTAGCCATGCAATGTCTTGTCTAGCTGTGGCCCAAACCTACCTAATGCATAGACCTTGCCTCCCACTACATCGACACTGAGAGCGCTTCGCCTTGAGTTCATAGATGCCATGAACTCCCACTGATCGTTCTCCATGTCGTAGCGTTCCATACTGCTGAGTTGGTTCATCCCGTCGTAGCCGCCCACCGCGAAGATGTAACCATTGAGGCTTGTGACCCCTGCAAAGAGTGCAAATAAAAGAAGGAAACAAATGAGCAAACAAGCATATAATACTTCTGTCTGTCTGCACTCTCTGATAATATCTAAACATTTCAAGCTATTTTGATATTTGCATTTAAACTAATTGAAAGGACAGGCTTCAGTTGTTTGAGATGTTTATTTTCCTTGCCTTGAGAACAGATAAAGTTGCCAATAGTATATGTGTAAATGTAGCAGTTTTGTATTGAAGGCAAGGGGCTAGTAGGGTGAAAGGAAAGACCAAAGCAAACATATAATGTATGATAGAAAAGACAGTTGTTTAACATAATTATACAGATACATGTATGTCTGTTGAAGACCTTTCAATCCAACACCATAGTTTTTGTTACCATTAGGTTTAAACTTCTTGGGCTCGTAACCCCCCCCCCCCCCCCCACCTCCTCCAATTAATAATGATTTTCTAAGGACTCTTCACCCATTCCTGATCTACTAAGCTAGGTTAGTCACCATTCAGCTTTCTAGTTCCTCTGGGGAACAAATCCCTACGCCGCATCCTCACCCCCCCCCCTCCCACCACCTCACCCCCAACCCATCGCCTTGCCTGAGGAATCCTTACCTGCTCCACTGCGCCGGGTGTTCATGGCGCTCACCATCGTCCACTCGTCGTTCTCAGTGTGGTAGCACTCGACCGTGTTGAGACGGTTGACCCCATCGAATCCCCCGACAGCGTAGAGGAGTCTGTTGACCACGGCACACCCGACCCCTATCCTCTTGGTGTGCATGGGGGCGATCATGGACCATTTCTCATCGTCTGGATTATACCTGTGATTGGTACGGGTAAAGCGAGAGAAAAGAGCGGGATATTTAGTTTATGGTTAACTAAAAAAAAGTCAGGTACTGCAAGTGATAAGAACAAATTGTTAAAATAGTACTGTATTTCTCATCGACTGGATTATACCTGTGATTGGTACAGGTAAAGAGAGAGAGAGAATAGAGCGGGATATTTAGTTTATGGTAAACTAAAAAAAGGTCAGGTGTTGCAAGTGACAAAAACAAATGGTTAAAAAAGTACTTTAGTCTGTAGAACGACATAATCAACAGGACATTTTGTTTGTTTTGCCTGCTTAGGACCAGAATGATTTTAACTATTTACTAATATCCTTATCCATAAACAGGTAGTCAACACGCTCCTGGCTCTCAGCAGCCCATATATATACCAAAGTTCATTTCATTTCTTGTTTCTTCATAATGAATCAAGTCTTTCACTTATAAGAATTTCTTTCAAATCATACTGTCATGTCAGCCATGCTATTGCATAGCTGAAGGGTTAAAAGTGGGTGAAATCAAGAAATCAATCATCGTCATTCCTTGAAACATTCTGGCAAGGCTGACGTGTACTCCTCAGAGACCGATGCTAATATTGGATAAACCCTCACTGTGCATATCTTTTCAATTAAGCATTCTCACGCTCTCCAACATTCATGGGTAATGCATTAAAGGCATTTAAGCATTTAACAGATCTCAACAAACTGACTCTGTCTCTCTTCTCAGAATCCTATCTCCCTTGTCTCGATCCTCCAGGGAAGGGGGGGGGGGTTCAGAACGTACAGCTGAAATGCCAACAGGACGTGCAATTTGTCAACGCAGAAAGCGCAATTTGCCGATTACTGGTACTCCGATGATTCAATTACCTGGCCGCAATGACAATGCAATTGTGTGGAGTAACAAGTGACTTTCCCCCCTGTTAGTCTGTGGGTGAAGCCTGCTTGAAAACAGTTAACCCAGGAGGTCGAGTGCCTCGATAAACGAACCTGCTTCACGTTTGTGGTGAGGCCATCATCGTGAATAACTCCAATTTGGTTTGGAGCCAGGAAAATATTGGAAAAAGAACACTTTTCATAGTAGTTGTTGAGGGGGAAAACAACAACATTACAAAAACAGCAGGCAGCAGCAGCTTCATTTTAGGTACTTGAACACTTGAGTACGACAGTAAAGTGTTTGAAAGGTGCTTTCTGATAGCGAAACAATCAAATGTTATTAAAGAAACAACCTTTTTAGCATCCATTGTAAAGTGAAATCGTGGGGGTGGCATGGGACAATACTATGCTTATGTTGGGTTGGGTTTGTTTATTCAACGGATTAATGAAGAAAATGTTATTTGAGCCGAGACGTGATGAAATTAAAAGCCACCAAACAATTGATACGCCATTGATTACACCCACACCTTCTTCTAAAATTATACCATGGATCGGTCTTGTGCAAACGATGCAGAGGGAAAGGAAAAAAATATGAGGAGTCAGGATTGGAGTTTTCTCAAATTCTCCTTTAATTGATTTACTTTATCAACTGGACACCGACACTGTTGTTTAGGCATGTGAAAAGATAGAATGTGTGCATTTCATAGCATCATCCAAGTAGAAAAAAGATATGCCATTTACACTTTCAAGAGCTTTTAGCACAGAACATTGGAAAACATTATATACAATATAGTTGGATATTTAAAAAAATATAATGTCTGTACTCTGTAGCTGGTTAAGACTATCCCCTCCCCTTGGCCTTAGTGGTTTGCTATCCGGGAGTCATGACTCTACACAACGGCCCTTTTGTCAGACATGCATGTCATTGTGCGCCCGTTATGTCGACTCATGCACTGTTGGTTGCAAACTCGCCACCCAATTGTGCACTGAAATATATCTGATGATAAGCCTGATTGCTCCCTGCCTGCCAGTGCTGTCTCACTCACTGATCTCCCCACTCTGCTCCAAACTACCGAAAATAACTCTGCTTTCTCCTTCCTCTACACCATTTTTAATGAATCCCGTCCCTTTCTCAACTAGGAAAGTCGTGCCTACGACTTCCAGAGTACATAATATTTTACAATTTTACAACCTCAGGGCCCTTGAAGTGAAAAAGTTGGTATAATTTGCTTGGATATTATTGAGTAAGTAAGAGATGTAATCAGTTATTATTGTTTCTAAGGAGCGTGTGTGTTCTCATGGCAGTGTCCCTACGTCATTGGTATTCACTGGGAGTAATGAAACATGAGAAGAAATATTGGCAGATGGAAAGAATATTGTGTATGAGAGAGAGAGAGAGAGAGAGAGAGAGAGAGAGATGAAAAGAGAGGAAGAGAGAGAGGAAAGATGAGATGGGTATTAAAGAGAGAAGAAATGAGACAGAGAAAAAATAAGAATAAAAAATAGAGGCAGGTGTTCACTGCGTTATAATATGTTTAACTTTCAACTCTCGTGAAAGAAAGTGCAAATATCCATGTGTAAGCCTTCATTCATGTGCAACCTATTCTACATGTACATAGATTAGTAAAGATGGAAGTGGGTAATATTGAAATGGCGATATCAAATGTGAATTCACCTTTCACAAAGGACAACGTCCATATTTTGACACAAAATTTAGTGAAACTTCAATGAAAATGTCAAGGACATATTGATCAGAACAAAATGGGCAGACAGAAAGACAGAGGCAAACATACAGAGACAGAGTAAGAGAGAGAGAAAGATGAAGAGAGTTAGAGAAAGAGGAACACAATGTGTGGAGTCATTATTCTCAAATGTCAGAGTCTCAGATGGGGGGAATTACTACAAGCTGGCATTCTCTACAGAGGGCACCTCCACCGAGAGTCAGCAAAGGAAAATAGGAAGGCAGGAAAATGGCAGGACGGGGAGGGGGGAAGAGGGGGTGAGACATTATTGTTTCGATCCCAGAGCAGGATGAGGGATGGCGGGGGAGGAGGGAGGAGGAGGATTCCAGGTGGGAGACAGATGGAACAAGGCGATGAGAATGAGATGGAGATGACAAATGCATCCATGGCATCCCCGAGACATTCACCTCAGATTGTTTTCCTCATCAGTATTGGATCTAGGTAATCAGATGATAATTTTTTTGTTGAAATCCAGACAGAGGAACAAGAAAAAGTGAGAGGGAATGTGAGAATAAACGACGGAGTGAGAAAGAGGGTAATATAGAGAGAGAGAGAGAGAGAGAGAGAGAGAGAGACAAAAAGATAGAAATGGAGAGGGAAATAGGGAGGGAGGGAGAGAGACTTAATGACAGAAAGTAATAGAAAGGGAACATAAGAAAGATGACAGCAGAACACCTAATGATTTTATACTTTTTTTAACTCGCATACCAAAAAAGGACATAAGCCACATGATCACAAATCTGAACTTTGTCTTGGGAAGGATATTCACTGAACTACGGACCTCCCAAACTGGGTTTGACTACCTTATAGATAATGAGGGAGAAATGCTAAACAATAGAGCAATGACATTGACAATTGTTCTTGCTTGACTCTCTTTCCCAGGAGTCCTGGCAATGACCCATGAGAAGGGGGAGGGGGTGGCGAGAGTGGGAAGGGGGAGATAAGGGTTATGACTAGGCAGAATAGTTTGGATCAGGCAGGTAGGAGAGCTAGCTCGGCAAGTCCCCCAAGTGAGTGACTGGCCAGTAGCTGTCAGTCATTGCCTGGCAGGCCTGGCCCACAGCGGCATAGAAAAAATGACTTATCATGCTGAGGTACCAGAAAGTGACGATTTGGAGCAATCTAGTTTTGATGAGTTGACCGATACGACTCGCGGCGATGAGCATGATTGCGCATTTTTTCCTATCGGTCCTTGTCGTATAGCACTCGAGTGTTGATGAATTTAAGCAACATGAAAACTACTAACTCTGACTAAAGGTACACCTGGTGGCAGGTGATTATCTTGTCAACCTCAGACTCTCAACAACAACAACATCTACCTGTGTTTCTTCAGGTCAGGGCAGGGTTCTACGACACATGCTTTGATGACAATTGCTCCAAGGTCGATTCCCCACAATGACCCTGGGCCTTATTTCAACCCTGGACGAAACACTAGACCTAACCCTTTAACCCTAACCCTTATGTAAAACCTACCTTAAAACTTAAACATCCTGGAGCAAATGTCACCACACATATGTTAGGTCACCTGAAGTGAGAGCCCAAAAGTTGAAGTCGAGCACCGCAAAAGGACAAATTAAGCTTTGGTTGCATAAGAATTATTAATTTTCCACAAGAACTCTTGTGTTACAAGAAGCTAAGGAAACATTCTTGAATGATATTTACCTTTCTGCGCTGTTGTGTTGATTACATTGATGCGAGCCTCCTACTGAATATAATAGTCCATCTAGTACCGCTACAGCCACTCTGTTCCTAGGGTGGTTCATGGGAGGGAGTGTTTTCCATTGATTATTGAGGGGATTGTACGCATCAAGGCGATTGGAGTCCGTGTTAGCCTCTGCAGTATTGTTCCTTCCCCCTACCACATAAAATATACCATGTATGGTTGCTGCACTGAGTCCGCTTCTCGGCTCCGGGAGGTCGGCTAACCTGAGCCATCGGTCCTCCTCAGGGTTGTAACATTCCACAGTCGTCAAAGACTGGCGGAGGTAGCCCCCGGCGGTGTAGATGACGCAAGCTGAGATGGGGTTCCGCTTGGGCGTCTTGAAGGACTTGTGCAGCTGCAGTTCTTGGAAGATTTTGGACAGGTAGTCTTTGCACTTTGGCTCGTCCCTGAGAATGTCGCAACGATCTAATTGCCTCTTGAGGAATGCTGGTGAGAGGTGCTCAACGCGAATCGCCCCGCAGTTGAAGAGTTTCTCTAGGCACGGCCTACGCTCGTCCTCTTTGTGCCGCACCCACCTGAGGCAGGCATCGTAGACCTCCGACTCGCACCATACGTTGAGCTTGTCATGCTTGATGACCGTTAGAAGCTGCACCAGATTGAGGTTCATGAATTCTTCCGATTGAGATACTTCACAGAAGTGACGGAACACAAACATGCTTGCCTGTTCGGACAGACTACGTAAACTGTGCTCCTCCGCGTACATTGAAATTCCTATACAGTTTGTTGGGTCCAACTGGTGCTCCAGAAAATTACAGCACGCATCCACAATGTCTGTTATCTGGAACATGATTGCTTTTGGTAAAAGCTCCAGAACGCTACACTCGGTGATGGTGATCTCCGAGGTGTAGATGAAGTCCATTATCCGTGAGAAGACGCACGGATGTACATCCTTGATCTCAATACTCTGCTTAGAGCACTCGTGGAACCCGCTTGTGAACATTGCCTTGAAGTACTGACTACATGATGCTAGCACCACCTTGTGGGCGTGAAATTTAACAGTCTCGACGATGAGCGTCACATCGCACAAATCGCGGTTCTCCCGCAGTTCGCTAACGATCTTGAATGCGTTGGCGGGGTGTTTGGTACTGGTGAAGGTGATGCTGCCATCACAGCCAATCTTGTGACGGATTCCTTTCTGTGGCCATTCGCTGGGCGGGTTGCTTGCCGTGTCAGAGACGGGTGGCTTTGGGGGTACTCGTGGTGGGTCCATATTTTTGCTATTGGGAAGGGCTCCCTCTTTGCCATTATGCGAAGAATTCTGTTGTTGAGCAATGTTGACGTCCAGCTTGGATCATAATACAGAGAAGAGATGATGATGGGAGTCCCTGCTCTTCAATCACTTGAGGTAGAACAGAATCCCAGAAGATGAAGTTATCTGCAAAATAAAAGAGGAAAAACAAATATGTTAACAGTTTGTAAAAACAACAGTGGCAATACAGTAGTTCCTATAAATAGCAAGCATTAATGCAGGCTGTTGAGAAATGAAGAAATGTACCACAACTACATGGAATAGGACACAGAATAAGATGTGAAAAAAGGACACTGAAATTAGCAACATACAAGTAGGTAAGAGTGTTAAAAAAGGGAAGAAAAGAAACACAGCCACACCAATCCAAAAAAAAATTCAAGTATCACTGTATGCATTCACGTTCGTCTAGTTGAACATGTATTTGAGACCCATTTGAGACCCCTCAATGATTAATTGACAGAACAGGCTTTGTTTTTGCGAGAGTCGATGATGGCTGAACACCTACTCACGAGCAAAAACAACAACTAGGTGGTCCACTTGTATGTGAAGGCATTGATAGTAGGATCATTGATATTCTGCAATGTCATGCAGTCTGATACCAGGCCAGCATTAACAGCTCATTCACACAAGAGTATTAAAGATTAGAATCACAATTGAACTTTTCCCTTTTAATGCGATTAAACCCATTCGAACAGGGAATGGTATTTGAATGGCGATAAAACTCTGAATTTAGATCTTGCTTTTCACACAATAATGATATTTTGATCGCAATTCAACTCTCAATTTGACTGCGCGTGTCACAAACAAGTACGTAACAGTAATATTATTAATATTGAATTCACAAAAAACCTGAATAGTCGACTCAATTTGAGAAAATGGTTGAAGAAAGTGAAACAAATTTATATGCATTTATAAGATGATGAACCAATCAAATGATTGGTTGAGAGCGTACATGTGACCAGGCATTTATTTTGCCTAACACATCATTTTACTAATTAGTAAAATCATGTTATAAAACATCATTTTATAAAACAAATAATACACATCTTTTTGTTCGGGCATTGGTAAAATCAAAATGGTCCAAACACCCTTGGCTATCGCCTCGGGCGTGTTAGACTGTTCCAAAGGTACCTTGTGCGAGTAAATCTTGCTACGTCCTGCCCTCGCTGCTGTGTATTATTTGTATAATATACAGTGTACCACCCTGCTCTATCATCCACTTCATAAAGTCTAAAGTCTACTCAAGATCTGAAAAGCCGGAACCACGTGAATAAATCTTTACCCGCATACACCTCCATGCTGTATTATCAAATTGATGTGTTAATTGTAAAATTAGCAAACATGACAGAAAGTTCGATGACGTGCACGTACAGCACGTAATGTAGCGCAGAGTTCGTTTGAAATGTGCCATATACATGGACATGTATGACTCAGCATTTAACTATGTCAATAAGACCATTCGTTTCTATTACACTAACATTCCAAAGTTGACATTGTCTCTCATGATATGTCACATTCATGCTGTATTAGGTGTGTGATCGCTAGATGCCCACTTGTATGCGCACACTCCACCTACGTATGTACACATGCATACATGTCAATTAAGTGTGTGTCTACATACAAGATGTGGTTTCTTAGATGATCAAGTTGAAACGTGAAGATCCAGAGGCCAAGGTCAAACGTGAATCTCATTCTGCTTTGACATTTGGTTTGCTGCTTTGTTTTACCCGACTGCTTAGAAAGCATTTTCATGCTTGTAAGTAAGCAACCAGGGTATTGACGACTTTAAGTCCTCTCCAAGGGACTTGAAAATGAGGATTAATGCCTTATCAAAGGGCACTAGCGCATTTCTTTGGTTTCAAACTCGGAACCTCCTGCTAACGAGACACAAGGTATGCCCATACATGATCACACGTGGTCGTAGAATACAAAAACAGCTACACAGGTGGAGAAATAACAAAGTTTCTCAAACTGCTGTCAACATGAAACATCCCAGACACGTCAGCCTGCATACATACTTTACATATTATTTAAACATTGAAGTGTAAGCAAATGTAGGGTACTCAATGTGAAAATGGAAATTAGTGACATACCTGTATTTAGCTGAACCCTATAAATAAGGACTACGCCCATATATTTTTTTTTTCTACATTCATTTCCTGCTCTATTACTTTTCAAATTATATTCTTTTTAGGGTGAAGGATTATATCTGTGTATGCACCTCAACAGTGAAAGAGCTAAATTAAGTAAGTTAACTGACATAATAACATACATGTACAGTATGCCTATATCTATAATGTAGGCCTGCAAGTAACGTCTGATTTGACCTACAATACATACATACATGCACCCACTACCAAGTCATGCTGAAAAATTTCCAGTACCGGTATCTTAAACATGGAGCCATAATCCAATAAACTATTACCCATCCAGGATCCCCCATATTTGCACCTTGCATGTATGTCCTCCCTGGCTAGCTGGGATCAATAAACAAAAACCAGTTCACTATGTTAACTGCACATAGATATAGAACAAGGTCTGTCTGTATACAAACTGACTTGACTGTAATAATGCACCGTCATCCATCGCACGGGGGACTTTGCACAGGTACAGTATGAGCAGATAAAAACTGCCAGCAAATTCTAATTTCAGAGGTCACTGAGCTACATGTAGGTGTGGTGCGCTTATCGTCTTCTTTCAGTTTGGCATTGTAACAGGTAAAAAAAAAAGGGAATTTCTAGGTCCTTTCAGGAATAATATGAAGAGAAAGCTTGAATTCTATCCACCTGAAATTATACTAGTCTTTAGTGATCAGATTACTTTAAAAATAATATCTATCTTTTGCTGATCTACATGTTTACAGGTTTTTACACTAATCCCATGAATATTTCAAGGCATGATTATCAAAACAAGTTCAAACTCCAAAGAACTTTTCACTGATGAAATAAAGTAAGCCTAATTTCAATTGAAAGCGCGCCACTTGAACTTGAGGTCCAACAAGTGCATCTGAAACACCCTCTCCAGTCTACTTTCCCATTCTACATTTCTGTTGATAATCTACTAATTTAATAATCAAAATAATTTTCTTTCTTCTTTTTAAAACACTCTTTTTCAATCTAACAATGTTAATGCTAGTAAATGTTTGAGAACAGTCTGTCACACAAGACTAGTAGTGTAAATTCTCAAGGAACCTCAAAGGTCATTGACCTCTACGTAGGCGGCTAATGGCATGAGCAGATACTGTAATAAACGCATCTATTACAAATGCACATACAGTGTACATGCAGGCATGTAATAATAATGAAAGCGGTAACCAAACCTATTAACAGTTGGGATAACTAATTCATTATCTGTCTGCTGAGACCAGAATGATCGACATCCGTGATCTCGGATAACTCTACAGACCTGAAATGTAGCCTCCTTGAAGAGGTCATCCTCTTGATTCTCAGATGAGGGAATCAGCTTCTAGAATTTTCAACATGTTATCGGACTTGGAAGGAATTATCCCGGTTTACATTATCCGGGGGCAAGTAAATTGATTAAAAAATAAAGAAAACAAAAGAAATAATCCACTCTTACGATGTACTTAAACAAATTGTTTGAACTCCTTGAGAGTAAAATGAATAAATGACAGAGCTCATGATGCACACATCTCTGTACGATGTGTAGAAAAATCTAGAAAAATATGTTTTCACACTTCATTTATGAACACAAGCCCTACTGTAGCTTAATTAAAACCTCAATTAGGAATGAGCAATAAACAGATATCTACATGTACATTACAAGAAGGCCTTCGTAGCCAACTAATTAATTCTCATTCTCAAATCGCATGTCACAAAATTAAATTGGCAAAAGTGCCGAACAAGTATACTCAACCAATTGCCTTATTTTTTGCCTGCTAATTATGGGATCCACACAATATGAATGAACGATTAAAACACAGGCCACCTTGACTCAAACTGAAATGTTAAAGTACATGTACCTTCATTGAATGTAACTTACAACTAATGGCATGAATGTATGATAGTAGTTCACATGAAATATACATTGAGTTCAGGATATTACATTTTGCATTGCAGTGGTGCAAAAAAGGGGTTTCCCCAGAATTTCCTACTGAATGTATTTCCCACTATGTACATACATGTACAAGCATTCAACTTTCAATTTGAGCCATGAGGCTCTTGAAAAGCTGTTTTGCCATCGAACTAGACTGTGAAGTACTTGTCTAGGGAAGCAGAAACAAATAGGTCTCTTTGACTTTGGACTACAAACATTGCACAATGAAGAAAGATTGTTTGACTTATCAAGCAAATCCTTCGAAGAGAATTCCAAAGTCATCAAATGAAAGTGGCTAACAGTACTTAATAAAACGAAGGCCAATTTTAAGTGAGGAATAGCTTTGGAACATTGTACAACACACAGGCTTTTTAACTCTGCAGTTTTCAATTCTACATTCTTCTGATCATTTCCCTAGTAAAAAGACTTGTCAAATTCAAATTTAAAGAAATGAATAGACTGAAATATGCCTTGATTGGAGAAGTACAGCATAACGGTGTCAAAACGCTCTGATGGTACTACATCAGTGTAGGGAGGGCTCGATACTAACCGCTGCCCGGGACACTTGTGGGCACCTTAAATCTAAATGTAATTTTGAACATATACAGCTTATGCATACAGACTGTAAAAACTGAAATCCGGACCCCTCCGAAAAACGTTGGCGTTGAGCTTTGGTGAACCAATTACGGAAGTTATATATCATACTACAGTATTTTGGTTTAGAGTTAAAACAGCCTCAAACGTAAAACTGCAGACACATAACAGTAATTGTGGCATAATTTCACCATATTCACCTCGATTCTCCACTTTAGTGGTATGGAAATGGGTTAGGTTAACCCAAGTTCATCCGAACCACTTCAGAAAGTGCAGGCAAATCAAGCAAGTAATACTACAAGCCCACCTGGCCCACTCTACGTCTTGCCCAATTAGAGGATCGGGTCTGATCCTCGACTCATCTGCTATGAATCATTGCAAGCTATCTTGTGGAGTCATGCAGGTCATCTACAGACTGCTGACTTGGCATATTGTAACGCCTTGCCTGTGTTCTAGATCCCGAGCGCCGACCGACCAACCCTCCTCGCTTCTGTTCAGTGACATTGCTCAGGGTTGAAAGCTAGTTGAACAGGGTTTGTGACCGATAGATAATCCTTGAGCATTCTTTCTCAGAAATCTCTGCAACTAACATTTTTTAATAATTTTTTTACCAAGTTTTATTGGTCAGAAAACACAATGATTTACAAAATATGTGTTTCATTGTTTTGCAATAAAATAATGAATAATCATATTGTTTCACACTTACAATCTTGTGGTTTCACATTTCAGTGTAACATTACAAAACATATCATGATACCTCTGGGACTATTATGCTATTTTATTATTATGCATGTAAGCCTAATTAAAAGTTCATTGTGCTCTACTTTATCGGCCCTGTTTAGTGACATTGGTCAGGGTAAGAAAATCAAAAGCGATTATTTCTCACTGATATGAGGATATCTGAAAAGATGAACATGTTTATAAAAAGCCAACAGTTAACTTTACATTTACATCAGCTAATATGATCAGCTATAATATAGGCTTATATTTGTACAGGAATTCATTTTCATGGGCATTTTGTATATATATATGCAGGATTCTTTCCTCATCTGTATCTATTAATTTATCAAACATACAGTTGTTACGTTGTAGTCCATGATTTGTTTACAATGTACATGTACCACAATGTCTGTTGTACTAGTAGGCGATACTTTTGTTTGGTATAATAGTTCATGTACTGTATGTACAAAATAGCAATCTTAACCAAATTTTATATCTTAACACATATCATCCTTTAACAGATGTTCATGCTGTGCATAGCAAAACATGCAGCCATTGCGTAGCAATGACGTGTGTAAGTTCATGGGTGAAATCAGTCAATCAAAACAGGTATTGAAGGGATCGAAATTGGCAATAAAATGTGTGTGTGTGTGCTGGTATGCTGCTTAGTAATGTCTCGCAGACTTGTTGTCATGTCAAAGTTAACTTCTTGGTTCCTTCGTTCAATAAATATTAGTGTTACAAATAAAAAATATTGAAATATAACCACCCCAAAAAACATGGTGAATCATGCAAATCATGCACATTATATCATATTTACAATAAAAGATTATGCCCAGTACATATTATGTTGAGACTGTAGGCAATGCATGCAGAGCTGCTACAGATTCTGTGTATTTTGCAATTCATGAAAACTCCAGTATCATATATACCTCCAAAAAAGTATTAATAGCGCTGCAATATAACAAAACAGCTTAATCATTCAGTATCTTTATAAAACGAAAATGATGTAATGACAAATGTATAGGCCTACATTTTGTCAATTATTAAAAATCTCATATAATTACATCCTTATATTATACACTTATAACATGTACTAACATATTTTCACAAAAACAGACATCCATTAACTGAGAAAAATATTGAAAAAGGAAATGAAAAATAAAACATACCACTCTTGAATTTAATTCCACAGAATGACCAACGAATCAAGTAATTCCAAAGTAATCTGCAGTCGATATATCCCCAAGATTCACTGCGCCACTAATCTATTCCGTAATTGACTGTAGAGTAATTTCGCTGTGAATACTATGTTACCAGATGAAGCACACCTACTATATATATCACATAGACGTAAACAAATCCTGATTATAATGATGCGAATGTATTCCAACGGTATTCAAGTAATATAGTTATTTAGCCAGAGGTAGAGAGACAAGCAATATATGTATATCCTGGAGTCTGTAGTTTTAGGTTCTGAAATATATCTCACACAGGTTTGGTCTGACCAGCGTTCAAGTCCAATACTGCCAAATAATTCAGAGTCATCTTGCTTATAAACACCGACGACTTGCGGCGACGAGCCAACCTTGCAGGTAGATCACGGGCTCATTCAACTGCATGCATTGCTCCACTCTAAATGCATCGACAGTACGTGCGCAGAAGCCGTTGGAAGTCCACATTCAGCGGATCGATAGCATGACAATGCGTTTATTACTCTGTGTGTGTGTCTGTGTGTGTGTGATTGTGAATGCCAGCGCTAGCTGCATGCAGGTAAGGGTCATTGTAGCATGCACATGCAGTTACTATCCGGTTGTGGGCTGAGCTGAGCGAGTCCTATGAAAGAACAAGTGACTCAGCATTTTCCATCAATACTATCAACCTCGAGTATACTAGTGTATCATAACAATATCACCCCTTCCTTTCCAGATACCGGTAGCAGTCAAACGTAAGTCTACTGGAGCGTGAAGACATTGTATACATAAAGGCCCGAATTCACAAAGCAAGGTTTGAGCTCAGACCAAGGTTTGAGCTCAAACCTCCTTTTGTTTCGCCAAACCTCCTTTTGTTTTTTACAAACCAGGTTTGTAAAAAATGCGTAAAACGCGTCATATGACGTACGAAAACCTTGGTCTGAGCTCAAACCTCCTTTGTGAATTCGGGCCACAATGTACAAAGTATGTTTCAAGGAAGAGCCTAGCGGCTTACTTTTTCTAGGCCATAACCATGCACATAATGAACTATTCCTTGATCTTATTGTCTGGATAGAGATAACAGGGAAATGCTGATTCCCATTTGACTACCAGTATAGAAAGTGGATTAAATCTAAATGAACAAGGGCCAGTCCAAAACTCCCTTCTGGACATACATGCAGGAGCTTTTCCAGTGGGATGCTACTAGCTATCAATAGGTACAAAACAAAATGGTACTATTATAGTATAGGTAACAAATAGAAAATGGCCCTCTAATGTAATTTGTTTCCAAGTAAAGCCTATGCAACACTTGAATAACTCATTGAAATATACATGATCTAATTCCTAGTATTAGTGACTGCAGAGGGGCTAAGGGGAGGGGAAGCGTGGTACAGGGAAAAATACAATGTGGCAGAGATACATGACAAGATTAAGATGCACTGGAAAATCCTTTCGGAAAATGATATAAGCAGTCTGGTACAGAACTCAGTTAAATAATCAAACAGTGACAATGCACAAAACTTGACACTCCAGCTGACTTCTTTTTACAGGCAAACAAAGACCCTCAGAAGATAATATATTTGCTTAAAAGATTTTAGGTCTCCAATATGTTTGTGGGCTGAATTATAAGTTATCCAAAGGATAATCTAAAGAGATGTCTAAACACCCTAAAGAGGTGATGAAATAGGCTTTATTCCTTTGAAAAAAACTATATCGTCATTATCCTGATTAAAGCAAGATTTCAATCAAATTTAACATGTTTCAGTACCAAATCAACTAAAAAGGTTATGTCATTTCGATCAAGAAAAGGAGTATCTGACAAAAACACTATTCAAGACTTCTAAAACATTATTTCCAAATTCCAAATTCACTTCAGAGCCACCATTTACAGGTACCAGCGCACAATCTGCTGAAAGACAGAAGAGAGATAATGCGCGATGACCAAACAATCTATAACAATGCATATATATTTTGTCTTGAAATTCCAGGGTACCTGTATTTTCTCAAAGAACACTGATAACTTGATGAATTGCAATATCAATGCGCAGGCTACATATTCTCAGCATGAGTTGGCATATATTTCAGCTTGAAGAAAAAAAATCCAGTCTTCAATGAAAAGTTTCCAAATTACACTGGCTCACAGATAGAAAAAAAATATAAAAGATGTAAACAAAGCATTCAATAGTCCAATTGATCTAAAAAGCAGACTGAATTGCCTGGGAAAAAATCTGCAAGTCATGGTGATTTTTTTCCACACTGAAGGCAATGTCCCTGGAGCAAAATAATACAAAGGCATTTATCCTGGCATCCTGGGTAAAACATACTTGGAAGTAGCAGCAAAGCAAAAGCAGCAAGCAGCAAGCAACAAGAGCATATATGTGTGCATCATAATTCGTTCCTGTTTTCACGAAGTGACGGTAGTGAGGAAAATCTGCACGCAAATTTAATGCGATTTTCATTCACTACCGTCACTTCGTGAAAATAGGGACAAATTAATTGAACATCATCAAGAATTAAGCCACCAGTATGCTTTGCATGACCAAGGTTATTATTTTGTTATGGTATTGAAGGGATCAGTTGGATCAGTTGGTAAAGCATCTGACAGTCGAACCAAAGATCGTGGGTTAGGATCCAACCCAGGCAGATGACTGAATTCTGCGTTGTGTGTTAACTTGCCCCTCCCCAGGCACAGCGGAGCACCCCAATTTGCATATCATTAGCGGCCCGTTCTATTTGAATAACCAACGGACATCTGCGTGAATCCGAACATGTGTGTGCTAGAATGTCAAATCTTAAAATTCGCGTTGCGCCTTTATTACTGCCAATATCGCTATGAAACTTTCCATACTAACTAAAATTATTATGAATTTTATGTCAGTGAAATAAATACGAAATTCCATGGAATAAAACTCGAGATATTAATGTGTTTTGAGCTTCGCCCCTCGAAAAACACGACGTCTACTTTATAATGCGATGACCCTATCAAGCAATGCACGAAGTAGAGACTTGGTATGAATATTCATTAGGGTTAAATCCATACATGGGCGAAATTTTCGCTTCTCCGCTGTATTTTTTTTGGTTATAACGTTCTTTTTCATGGGGCTTCATTTTTAAAAGTTGTAGTCAGCGAACTCATTGAACATGACGTCATCGATCTCAGCGATGTACTGCGCATGCGTCTTAGGCCCAGTGCATGCCAGATCGAAACAGCTGAGCCATTAGCGTGCACGTGTGCAGTCGGCTGGTAAGACATGTATAGCCAACGCACACGCGAGGTTCAGACATGACACACATTTGAATGTATGGGACTGGTCAAACAATTTTGCGACAACGAAGGATTATTTTTGTTCGATGAGATTCGGACATTGGGGTATGTTTTTCTCTGAGACGACCCTATCAAGCAACTATGAAAAGAGATATTTCACAAGGATTGAGATTATTAAATTTTCTTTCTGTTCATACGAGGCAATTCTTTCTCGCTCTAAAAGAAATGGTGAATTTTACGGTGATTTTGTATCTCATTTTTTTCGTTTTTGTTCGTCAAAACTATCCCTTAAATTTCACATTTTCTGTGCATCAATAACTCCTTTTATACACATGAGTGTCTTGCAAATTTATTAAATACTCGATTTAGTAGCTTTGATTGGTGATATTCATCACATTAATGAAGAATTTGTCTTCGAAATTTGTTTACTTTTTTTCGCATCGATCGGTACACAATTGTTGATTTTATGCAAATGATGTTTACTGGACGAGAGTCGATCGCACGGTAATTGGGGTGCTCCGCTGTGCCTGTCCCCTTGTTTCATAGACGCAGGCTATGTTAAATGGAAAACACTTGTGTCTCTCAGATAGGATGTTAAATGAAGGCCCCTTGTTGAGGGGATTCACTACCTTTGCATGTTAAGAACCCACTGCACTATTCGTATAAGAGTAGGGGAAAACCTGGGGTAGTGGTCCACTTGCACATCCCCAATCAGTTATACCGAATCACTGTAACTCGAGGGTCATAGTGATTCAGGTCGCTTTACCCGTCCCAGGCACAGACGATGCCAAATACATAACAGGGAATAATTTTCCTCAAATTTTTTTATTAGCAATTTCAGCCGATGGATAAATATTTCAAATGAAATTATGTACATTTCTATGGAAGAAAACTGCTACACAAAAGATATTTTGTATAGCAGTCATGCAAAAATGCATAGCAAATTGCGATGCGATACCAGGAAAATTATTCCCTGCATAATAATAAAATAATAAGTATTACCGTCTAACTGCAAGAAGGAGAATTTGGTTATGTGATCTAACTGTAATATGAAGGGAGAATAAAATACTGATAGCAAAATGAAGTCTTGAATATTCTGAAAAAAAGGTTTGGTCATGAATTAGTGTTATTATTTGTAGGTTTGGATAACATTCGGGTATAAATTAGTGATCTAGTAGAAACACAAATAATAAAATTATGACAAAATTACTCTTTAACAAATCAATTAAAAAGCGACAACAGAAAACAAAACCAAATTTATCAGTCTATACTCTACTCTCAATTGACACTAACATCATGCTGATTTTCAGATGAGCAAATCATGTGAAAAGCATGATAGTAGGATCATTGATATTTTGCAATGTCATGCTGTCTGATACCAGGCCAGCATTCAATGCTCATTCACACAAGAGTAAGATTAGAATCACAATTCAACTCTTCCCTTTTAAAGGTAATGCAAAGTTTTGGGAAATTTTGTAAATTTGGTGGATAGTAATTCTTTATAATTTTGATATATTTGGATGCCCCTGTGGATTTATTATAAGCACTAGAAAATTTAGCCCCTAAAGCACTTCTGCTTTCAAGAAAAATTGAATATAACAATTTACCGGTGCTCCCGGTAAATTTCGATCAATTTCAAATAGCGCCTATGGCCGTACAATGCTAGCTGCGTCCATGAAAATCTCAGAACAGTTGTGATATATAATTTCCAAACGGAAATAGCTAATCGGTCGATTGTAGTCAAGAAACATTGTTTTATAGCTTAATTAATATCTTGACCTTGAGAGGGAGCTATACGACATAAAAAGTGTATTATTTACAATTTCATAACTTTAGACTCGATTTCAACCGCGACAACAATCACTGATTATTGTAGGATCGCATATGCTTCCAATATGTTCATTTGAATCAAATTCATGACTACATACCAAAACTTTGTATTCCCTTTAATGCGATTAAACCCATTCATTAGTACTACTATTCATACAGAAAATGGTATTTGAATTGCGATAAAACTCGCACTTTAAATCCTGCTTTTCACACAATAATAATATTTCAATCGCAATTCAACTCTAACTTTGATTGCGCCATGTCACATACAACTAATATTATTAATATTGAATCTACAAAAAACCTGAATATAGTCCACTCAATATGAGAAAATGGTTGATGGATGTGAAACAAATTTATATATGCAGCCATACATGTATACACCTCCATGCTTTATCATCCACTTCATCAAATCTGAAAAGCCGGAACCACGTGAATAAATCTTTGCCTGCATATACCTCCGTGCTGTAATATTCAATTGCCGTGTTGCAAACTGAATCTTTTCGAATGCCCGAGAATGGAAACTTTGAGTCAAAATTGTATCAAGGCACATTACAGAACATGACCAAACACACTTTACAAAATCTGTTTAATTAAAAAAGTCAGCAACAGACCAACAAGAAGAAGAAAAATAAAATTACAAGGGTTAAATTGATCTTTCTATACAGGCGATCGCTGAAGC